TGGAATTTGTCGATACAAAAACGCATTGCACAAGAAATGAAATTCAATTTAGAATGAAACAGAGTACTTGAGAAAAATGATAAAGGCAAGAAAAAATAATTATCTTGATTAGATAACATATAAAAAGTAATTTTTTTTTTATCAACAACAGAACGCATTTAAACTTGGAAAAACGCGTTCCTCTTGGACCTATTATTCACATGATTTTAACGTTCCTTCAAAATGCGTCCTGAAATCCTTTCCAGCGTTCTTTTAAGATGCGTTTTATTGTTTTAGAACTGTTCTTCTGAAACAACGTTCTCAGCTCATCAGAACGCGTTTCTTTTGCATAAGAAAAACGCGTTTTTGATAATCAAAATGCGTTCTAAAATAATGACAAAAGCGTCTTAACAACGCATTTTTTTATTTCAAAAACTCGTTCCTATCCGTTCTTGTTCTAATCTTCTTTTACATGGGTAGTATAGCTGAAAAGAGAGATACGTAAATATTGATCAAAATTGTCCGTCCATGTGATAGTGTCGTTTCGGACTTGAGATTTTATTCCGTTTGTACATGAGTAGACCAGCAGTACCTTAATAAGATTCATTGCGAATTAGTCTTGCTGGTAAGTGATGCCCTGATGATTCATCTTTAGCGTTAGTTGGTTTTGAAAGTGATCACCAACTGAATTTCAATTTACACATCCGCAAAGTCAAATTTTAACTTTAAGAACGAATGAACAATAACAATCACTCTTTTGATCAATAAATCTCGACGGAGATCACTGATTAAGTCGATCTGTTTGCTGCGAATGATTAACGTAAGAGTGTTTGAGGAAATACGGTTTCCTTGTTAAGGGTTTTTTCCCATATTTACCTCAAAAATTTTGTGGTTTTGGTAATTCTCCTGTTCGAATCAGTTCAATAGTTCTTTTGTCGACTGTAACTTTACACGACAGAATTGGTTCAGTTTCTTCGATACATCTAGAAAAGCAAAGTAGTGGTACATTTAACATCAGAAGGCTAGTCAACGGTATCCTTCTCATCAACATCCAAGTGTGTTGATTCCTACCTTTTTGCAGAAAAAAATAGAGTAAAATGGCTTCATCGTTTCACAATGATCAGACGGAACCAGAAGAAAAACTTGGTCAAGTAGCTCAAGATGCAGTGCAGGTAATGCCATTGATGACAATCGTATAAAGGTGGTGAATAGATCCGAGGATTTTTGATTAATAGACAAATCTCCAAAGTGGTCAACCAACTGAACCAAGCAGTAGTAAGTGACCGAATTTCTGATGCTCATTTTTCATCGCCGATTCGTTTTCATAGCAAATACCTCTGAAGATAACAGTTTTAACGAAATCTATTTGGGCTGTCCTGCCAATATTAGCGATACAACTTCGAATGATCATCATCTATCGCTGCAAGCACGCATGGCGCTAAGTACAGCGATATTAAAATTATCCCACAAAAATATTTCGTTGTTTGCATCGTTTAGGTGCAGTTAGCGGAGCCTTAAGTCAAGTTAAGAAACGTGTCGTTTCAGCCGGCGATGACATCAATGATACTACTAGCTCCAATTCTGACAATTTATTAGCCGAGAGTAGTAGCTGTCCTGTATCGGAATCTGTATCACCAACTAGTGTGCCACAACGTAAGCTACAAATCTGAAGTATCACTGATACTTATCGATTCCTTAAGTCATTCAGAGGCCCACAGTTCTCTCGCAAATGTCGGTAATATTCAAACGCCAGTTGCAGATCAACGACCCATTATTATAAGTTACAATCGGGACTCATCAGCCGAGACTTGCAATCGAATTTGTGAACGACTGAGGGTTAATATAATCCAATCGATTTCTTACTGTATATCTCTATCAAATTTTATTCTCAGGATGAAGGTTATAATGTGTGGATGGACAAAGATGATTTGCATGGGTTTATCCTTCGAGGCATGGCTGCAGGTGTCGAAAACTCTTTTATTGTTCTTCTCTGCTATAATCAGGAATACTACAATAGCACATATTGCAAAATAGGTTACCTGTTTCTAATTCTCTTTACTTTTGAAATGATTATTTGTTATTTTTAGAAGCGAATTACACTCTAAAAAATCGTATCAATTTTATCCATGTCTCATGGAGCCATCATATGATCCACGAGGATGGTTAGGTGCAGTGATTTCGCCTCGATTATATGTGAACTTTTCTTCACCGAGCAATTTCGACAATGCCTTCAAAAAGTTAATCAAGGAAATCGAAGAGATTCGTGCTAACCTACAAACACAATCAAGTACGTTTCATTTACTAACTTAATCTTCTTGGAAAAAGCTCAAAATTCCTAATACTAAGCGAACTTATCGTCTATAATGAAACTATTGCTCAGTTTTCAACTTAATCTATTTTCATCTCTAAGCAAGAGTACTTTTTGCTATCAAATTCGGATAGATTCTTAACAGAATTCATCGAACAATCATTGATACTGACTCGTTATTAAAACTATATTTCAATACTTTCTCTATCAGAATTTCCATGAGTTGTTCCTACTTAAAATATTTCTAAAGGATCAAGGAAACTTTCGATGACATGGCTCTTAGCTCTTTATTCGACCCATTGTTCGTATTCATCTATACCTCTAGACCTTACTATAAGTACCCGCTCCAACAAGAATAGATCCAATACACGTATCAATAATGAAATCATGCGTGAATGGTTCGATCGAATTATACGTGAATATAAAGAATCAATTAATAAAATTGATCACGATTTGCATTCACTTGAACCCGCAGAACTTGAAGAACTGATCAATCGTTTACGCGAGCAACTATTCAGTGATATTTCATCTTCATCAACCAATAATAATAACAATTCAATAGAGCAAAATACCAATGAAATATTGCGTGGATTGTTTCAACAATCCCGCAATCAAGCAGAATTATTAAGAAAATTAATCGAGATTCTTCCGAACCTGAACGACTTGAAAACGATTGCTAAACTTGTTATGGCATGTTTGTTTGTTTGTTTGAACAGTAAAGACTCATATTATCGACGCGTATATCGAACACAAGTGAACTATATTTATCTTGATAAACTGCTTTATTCGTTTCATACTGTAAACATTCACTATATATAGGGTGTCCAGAAAGTCACTAGAGTTAGGAAAATTTGAATATCTCCATTATGGCTCGGCCAAACGAGCTCGTTTTTTTACCAAGGATAGAGGCATGTTCACACTCCAAATTCATACGGACAAGGTTAGTGAAAACCTTTGTTAAGTATCACTATTGACCTCAACAAGAAAATTTTAGTTTTTCACAGATAGGAAGAAAAAACAATATAATTAACGAAGCTTTTCACTAACCTTGTCCGTATGGATTTGGAGTGTGAACATGCCTCTATCCTTGGTAAAAAAATGAGCTTGTTTGGCCGAGCCATAATGGAGATATTCAAATTTTCCTAACTCTAGTGACTTTCTGGACACCCTATATAATCCATTTGATCTAGCTTTGTTGGCACAAGCTTGAAAGGAACAACTTCCTACGGAAGACACTATACCGTTGAAAAAGTTCTAGAAATTTAACGGTTCAAAGAAAAAAAATGTTACCTATGTTGCCGTGAAAAAGCGTTAAAATCCTGCATTTTAGCGGATTTTCACCAGTGTTTTCTTGTTAAATTAAAATAAATGCACAATCACTTGTGACCCTTCGTTAAAATATCGGATTTAAACACGTTTCTACGATCTCATCCTCAAGATCTTTTTCGTCAAATGTTTAAATTTATAGGGATTTGTAGATAGAATAGTGTTGGTGTGGGTTGGCCGTGGGTGTGGGTGGGGATGGGTGTGAGTACATGTGTCTGAAGCTCTTGCTTAAAGGTACAGCTCACCCATATCTACACCTACACCCACACCCTCAATTTTTTGTTCAAAAAATGTATCTGTCGATAGTATTGCAGCCCATCGACCTAGAAGACCATTTAATTGAACCAGAATTCTAACAGTTGATCCATTATAAAAACAAGTAACAGCTAATATTCATTGCCATATACACACTCCATTGATAATTAAGCCTAGCTATCAACATTATCTGTTTATAGCTCGTTTAACTCTCAGTCTGTAAGAATAATTTGTCAAATACTCTTTCAGATAATTTATTCAAATCAATTTGTTATCAACTAGGCTCGTGGTGAATGAATATTTTGTCGATTTGACAAAGCATCACTCAGTTTTGTTTTTGCTAAATCAGATGCAATGAGACATAACTTGATACTTTAGACATACGAAATATTCTATCTAAAGTCTGGCTATTTTGATTGCTTTGATTGATTTGGGTATATTGACTTTCTTGAACGCTCCTATTGGATAAATAAACTGGGATAAGATTTAGAACAATTGTTGCCGCTACTATAATACAAGCAACAAGAACAAGGCAAAGGGCACTTAATACTGGCATCGTGAGCATTTTCCTTTATATAACTAAAATAAAGATTATCTAAATGAAAGACTATTTTTTTCACGTGAACAATGGGGATGATAGCCTCCCAATTTGCTCTCTCTGATATAAACAATTATTTGATGTATAAATACTATGTAGTGTCGTTGTAAAAACTCTGAAAGAATTAGAATGTTTAAATCTTCCTCCAAAAGGGATGAATGAATTATTTTATGTTGCCTTCATAATATACAACATACAAAATTAAAAATTCTGCAAATTAAAAAATAAACCTAAACGTCAGAGGGTTTTTTTTCTAGTATTTTTTGATATCTATTACATTCGCAAAGGTTTGTGCGATAGATGACATTCAGATGTGAATCCTTTATCAAGGTATAGATGAAAGAAAAACAACAATTGAATGAAAAATCAAGTACCATAGAATTAACTGTAAAATATCGCGTTTTATAAAGAATTCTTTTATAATCATTTTTCTAAAAAAAGAATTGTCAATTTTACTGAAAAATACCAAAGATAAGGTATTAATCTAGAAACATGAGTACATATACACAATTATATTTTTAATTTGCAAGTCATTTTAGGAAACTTGACTTTTTTATGAAAATATCAGTCTCGTAATACAATTAAACTAGATGTCCCTTAAATTTCGATTCTATTGCAACTTGACTTAGAAATCAATGATCTACGTCCTCCTCACAAAATAAAATTTTGAATTAAGTATTCATTTCAATAAAAAAGAAAATATTCACTAAATAGTTTATTACGCATAAATCATGCAAGTAGCCTTACCTATTCTTATCGTTGAAGATGTAAGTAAAACAAACATAGATGAAATTATTGATAAACAAGGTTTCTTATATATCTATTCTTTTCATAACAACATAACAAAATAATATTTTGCCAATGAATTCAGGCTAATCAAAATAATAAATAAATGTAAGATGAATATAAAGATACAAGAGGTTGATTGTCACTACTAAACAAAAGACTTGTGAAAATGCATACTGTTCGGGCGGAGATGCATTTTATCAAATGATCTGTATCATTTCTTTCTTGAATGAGAAAATAACTCAATATAGAAACTTTGTATGAGAGCAAGTATAGAATTTCGAATAACAATACGCATTTGGATTCAGGCTCTAACAATACTGATGGATGCACAAGTGGAAATAAGGCATCAAATGATAATGATCATCATCAACTTCGTGTAAATCTGTGAATCTAGGTCTGAGTCGGGATGTGGAGTGTGAGTGCAGTTGTACGTCACCACTAAAATAGTTAATTCATGCGTTTCTGTTCCATGTAATCGATGAGCACCCTACTGTTTTTCGAACTTTTGTCGAGAGCTAAATGAGAATCTGCGGTAGAACCAAGGGTCAGAAACAATCTATGAATCATAGAGATCGGAATTTTTCTCTTGATAAATAATATCTATGATTACACATGTTTTCTGCAACAAGTTTCAAGAGAAATATATATATAAGGTAATGTGAAGCGAGAAATCAGTGACTTTGGATGTGATTTGGATTCTTAGTTTTGACTTATTGTTGGAAAGTCTGAGAATATCGGATAAGTTAGTAAAAAATCAGGATTACAAAGAAAAATTTTCTTGTATTATATGTCTATCATCATGTCTAAATTGGTAGTTGAGGCGAGAAAGCAAGTCGAGCTTTTAAAACGATGTAAATGCTTAGGCCAGAAATGAAGGTTGCAGTTACGTATGCAGGAATCCAACCAAAATAAAAACGTATAAGCAATAAGGCAAGTTTCCACAGAAAAATAGTTCCAATATATTCTAGCACAGTATATAAAAAGTAGTTTCTTCTGGTCAACATATGAGCAGTGTGATGGATGACTGAAGACCCAATGATTAGAAAAAGAACAATAATAAATATCATAATGAAGGTATCACTAGCCAAGTTAAGAAACCACGGTACACTGGTATGTAAAAGCCCAGTAAGAATAATAATGAAGAGAAAACCGACGCATATGTTTCGAAAACAATAAGCGAAGACGATGAAAGCGAATCCAATCAGATGACCAAGCATCCAGCCCCAACCGGTACCCCACACAGTAAGTAGGATACGTGGAGCATCGAAGGGATTCTTGAGAATGAGACAAACTAGAGACCAAACACGACGCCACCAAACTAAATTATAATACTGGTGTTGAATATTTCGTTCATCTGGTGTCAAATTGAAAAACTCTGCTAATGCATTTGCAAC